TTTCATCGTCAACATTCATAATTGATTCAATAGCTATTTTATAATAACACTCACTTTTTGAATATTCACCCATATCGGATAAAAATTTAGCTCAAATAATTAATGAATCTATTTTATCAAAATATTGTTTGTAAAATTTCATAGTACAGTGATATCTTCATCATTCTGATCACATGCTATTAATAGCACGCACCACATATGTTCATGATCATTACAAATTTCTGTTGCCGACTCAATTCGAAATATGGTCACCATGGAAAATAACGTAATCAATTCTACCAAATGGATTTTTTACCTTATTTGTATCTAATATAATTTCAAACAGAACAGATTCACGTTGTAAACGATCAGAACCATTTCCAGCAAATATTTTAGCTATAGCCAAATTCATTGATGTTGATAGGAATGTATTCATCGATATTAGACGACCGATGTTATCTTTGAATTTATTCATTTCATTTGGACTCAATTGTTGTCCTCTATATATACCGTTACTATTTCGTCAAGACTCATACATATATTCAATATAATCGGCATGTATCTGTTTCAATTGTTGACAGAGATCAATAATGAAAAAACGAAATTTATATATGATGTCAATATTTTCTGTGCGAAATGCTTTATTTAGTAGATGAAATAGGAAGCAATCACGCGTATACCATTTGATAGCAGGAGAATTTGAATAAGTTTTATCAAATTCATCAATTAAATTCAACTGATGTTCATTTTTTTTATAATATAAACGGCATTCATTTAACATTTCTTGTTTCGCATTTCTGTTATCATTGTTAGGCATTCGAAGAAGAATATATATCAATAACTGATACCACATAAATGTGGCATTTTTCTTTTGTCAAATCGCGCATAGATTTTTCTTCATTAGTTAAATTAAGTATACTAAAAGCTGGAATATTACTTGTATACAATCGAATATCATTCGTCAGTCTATCAATTAAAATACTTTTATCTGTAAATATACCACGAATGTTGGACCACGAATGTGTCCATTGCTTGTGATGTAAAGAATTCAAACAATATATATAGATAAATATAACTGATGAACGATCATCGAGTTTTGGTATTAGGTATTCACCGTACGAGCCTGATATGATTAAAAATATTTGTTCAGATGCATTTTCTGTTTCTAATAATGATATATATTTGATAAATTCATCAGGATCCGTGTAAGTTTTCAGGTGTGTGATCAATACAGTAGATAAATATTTTTTTGTATCTAAACAGTCACTTGTTCTATCAATATCAGAATCAACCCATATGATTGATAAGTGTTCAAGATCGTTTATTTCTTCGTATTTATTGCTTGATGTTCGTTCAGATGCAATCGTTCGGATAAATTTCGACAAATCAACATCAAATAAGGTCTCAAATGCTTCATTTTGTTGTTCAGTCATTATTGGCATCTCAATATGTTCAATAGCAAGGGATTGATAGAATACAGTATTTGCTTTGAGTTTTTTGTTTGATTTTCTACTGCAATAAAATGATTAAAGATTGTCTTTTTCAGCATGTCACATAGAGATATGAGCTATTCATATAAATAATTATAAAAATCTACGTTTTTACACTCCAAAAGTCGACATTTAACAAGTGAAAAATATTGTGTGAGGAAAATCAATACGGTGAATACTTATGTTTTCAAACTTTCTTATTCGAAAAACGACGTTGTTTTAATGTGTTAGCTGTAGGCTTTTTGCATATAAAACGTCGACAACTCTAAACACTTTTTTGGATCGATCATATCTCCATGAGATTTGCTGAAAAACACAATCGTTTACAGTTTTACTACATACTTCAATGCTGATTGTTTAGTAGTTCTTCGGTAAGCTTAGGTTGAAGTGGGCATGATCAGTTCAATTCTTACATCTTGACGAAGTTAATACACTATTTGAATCATTGAAGCAAATCCCGCATAGATTGCTTGCTGTGCATACTTTCTCTTGCTCCTTTTTCACGGAATAGATTATGTTTTGAACGAACTATACTTGAGTGTTTGATTGAATTTCCGCAGAAAAAGTGTGATATACAACGAGCGAATGGCACAGCTTGTTAACTGTCAATAGCTGTTTTTTCAACTTTCAAAAGAAACAGGACACAGTCAATGGTTACACGAAGCGAAGCTGAATCAATAAGTATTGATAACAATATGATAGCATTGTTAGTGCCATTGAGAAAATATGCGGGTATAAGTGTGGGTGGGAATGCGGTTATGGTTGTAGAATATGGAAAGATGAGATGAACCCAAATTGGCACCCAAACTCCACGCCTACGTTCACACCCCATGCACCACCTATTATTTTGTGATGTGCGGTTGTGGACTAAAAAATATTTGCCTAATGAAACAATTAGAGACATTCATTCAAAAACGTCATGTTCAAACCGATGTGTATCCTAGGGTGTGAGTGTGTATAAGAAGAACGAAGCCACACCCGCGTCCGCAAAGATACACTCACTGACATTCAATCGGTACAGTAGATGTTCACTCCTTGATTCTGATGAGTAGCTTATGAAGAGGTTTTCTAAGACTAGTACGAGTATTTGAAACGCCATAAGCAGAACAAATGTATGATCGGAATACTGACAAGAAAAGACTTCGACAAATATGAAGCCGACAATAGCCTGCAGTACCCAGCATGGGCTAGGACAGTTATTGTGGTTTTTTACAGAAGGAGATATTTTTTTCCTGAGATAATTCAAAGAACAACTCCGGCACTCCTGCGAAACAAGAAATTCCCACGATTGAAAGGTATTACATCACCAACACCCTCGGGTTACTAATGAATATTAAACTTTGCTAAATCAAATTAGTATCCAGTATCATGTGTTCTTTCAAACTTTTTTCTGTCCAATTTCGTTTATTAGAGCATATTGAGAGAAAAAACAATAAAATAAAAATAGTGTTCTGTGCAGGTGTCGAACCTGCGACCTTCTGCGTGTTAAGCAGATGTGATAACCGCTACACCAACAGAACTACTTTTAATCCATCGACTTTTAAGCTGCTATTTCTGATTAGTTAAATCCTAATAAAACTCAAATAATTCGTACACTTGATGTTTCCAATATGTAGAGCGACAGTCTGAAGCAATCAACAGAGGGAAAACGACGAGCGGGTGAAATATTTTGACAGAATGCAAAGAAGAACTTCAGTTCTATTGCGAACAAACAAAAGCTCCTCAGAATTAAATAGCATCTATTCTTCGAAATTGTTTTCTGTCAAATTTCGTTCATGAAATCTTATTGAGAAAAAAAAATAAGAAAATAAAAATAGTGTTCTGTGCAGGTGTCGAACCTGCGACCTTCTGCGTGTTAAGCAGATGTGATAACCGCTACACCAACAGAACTACTTTTAATCCATCCACTTTTAAGCTGCTATATCTGATTAGCTAAATCCTAATAAAACTTAAATCATTTGTCTACTTCATGTTTCCAATACGTAGAGTGACAGTCTGAAGCAATCAACAGAGGAAAAACGACGAGTGGGTGAAATATTTTGACAGAAAGCAAAGAAGAACTTCAGTTCTATTGCGAACAAACAAAAGTTCGTCAGTACTAAATAGTATGTATTCTTCGAAATTGTTTTCTGTCAACTCTCGCTCATAAAAGCGTATTGAGAAAAAAAAAACAAGAAAAAAAGGAGTGTTCTGTGCAGGTGTCGAACCTGCGACCTTCTGCGTGTTAAGCAGATGTGATAACCGCTACACCAACAGAACCACTTTTGATCCATCAACTTTTAAGCACCTATTTCTGATGGCATAAATCCGAATGAAACTTGAATAATTCACTGACTTGATGTTTCTAATATGTTGAGAAATGGTGAGAAGCAACCACCGTGGGCTGCGGAATTATTGTGATTTTTTCACGAAAGAAAATTACCTGGTTCGTGAGAGAATGCAAAGAAGAATTCAGGCTCTGCTAAAATAAATTTTAAAAAAATTATCACTATTGGACGGTGTTACACCTGGAATATGCCTTTGGTCCGACCGCTACTGGATGTATCTGTATAAACTGCAGAGAAAGGAAAATTGAAACCTACATACTGAGTGAATTTTTTTGTTTTTTTTAGCAGAAGTGTAACATCATCTATAATGACGTTTTGACAGGAATAAGTATTGGATCCAAATGAAATTTCGAAATAAAGAAGAAACGTCGTTAATCTCATAGTAATGAAATAATACAGATCTTCTGGGGTACATTTCTTGAATTCTTAGGAATACATCTCATCTACAGAGGTTTTTTCTCCTGCTGTTGAAGATTATTTAATGAAGGATTGTTGTTAATATGGAGAAATGGTGAATTTGTTTAATGATATGTACATAGAATAAAGAAACATCTCCCTGTATGAATCATTGGTAATCAATGGTTACACCTATAAACTCGAAACAAACCACAGTAAAAAGAGTGGTGGATCCAAAATTTTAGCCAGGAGGTGACGATCTTGAGGATTCGGATGTGCGTGTGTATGAAAGAAAATCCACACTCACATTCGCTAAAGCGTACGGTTTTTCTTTTAGATCTTGACAACAGAAAGGGTTTTTTTAATATTTTGTAATAAAAGCATGAACTAGAACTGACTAACTATTAGTATTTTATGTAAGTGAGTTAAAACTAGTTCAGAAAAGTACACTCGAAATTTCAAGGTAAAAAGTCTTTAGTTTAGACCAAAATAACTTCTAATACGTGGATAACTTTGTTGAGCATAAAAAATTCATTCAACATGATTCAAAGCTCTCATCGTAAGATGAGAAAAAATTAACTCAATATTTAGAGCTAGCATTTTGCCAATGACTTGAAATGTATCAGTTGAAAACTAGTAATCTTACATCTCTTCATCATTAAAACCGTGCATGTCGATAAAAATACTGGCAGACAAATTATGAAAACCAGCCGATTTCAAGTATGATCG